TAAATCAAGGAAAAATCAAGAAACCCTAATTTCTCAAAATAAACTTTATAAAAATTAAAAGATCTCATCTAACGAGTTTGAAAAAACTAGTTTTCTTTCAATTTTCCTTTGCAAATCATTCAGTTTCTCCAAGATCTAGGTATCTTGCTCCTCAGTAATGGCTCTGATATCACTGTAGGACTAGGTTCATACGATGTTAGCATTGAGAAGCAATAATAAATGGTCTTAGCGAAAATAAAGTGCAGAAATTAAAGATTCAACACAAGCGATTTCTTTCGACTTAAGTCCGGGAGGCTCGACGACCATTTCTAACACCTACATCCCCATTGAGTATCCAATAAATTGGATTATGCTCAGTTGCACTAAATAGCCTCAAAATGGCAGAAAAAGATTACAAATATTTAACCAATACATGGAGATAAAACTGAAACACTTATCTCTCAAAACACAATGATCGATTTACGAAGAATCACTACAAATCTTCTCGAATCCTTTGAAAACAGTAACTCAAAAGAACTCTCACGTTCTTACAAAATGTTCACTAAGAATATCACAAATCAGAGGCTAAGTATTGACATAGAAGAGGAAATCCTAGCAGTCGAGAGAGTTTCTCTCTAAAACCAAGAGCCAGTATCAAAATGCAATGAAAAACCCGTCAAGTGCCAAGTGAAACGGCACAAACAAATAATAGAACCATCCATAACCCAGTAGTCAATGGCCAAGACAGAGGCATGTATCTCAATCCAGTTAAAAACGCTTTACTAATAAAGTCGCATTTCTCAGAAACGCGCATTTAGCACAAATTCTACGAATCCAACACATATTGTTAGCAAAGTCCATCTTCGACAATCCATCACTAAAAGCTAAAAAGATGATGAATTAAATTTTACGGCGAAATTTGAGTACAAATTCTTCACAAAATCTGAGGAGAACGAGGGAAAAAAGGGGAAAAAAGAAATAGTGACGAATTTTGCTAACGATGGTATATAAATCTGGCTCTAAAAATCCATTACAAAAATTCTGAAAAAGGAATTAAAATATAAAGGAAATTTAGTGGAATATCTACCATATCTCATACATTATTAGGATAACAAAACAATGAAATTTGCAATGAGAAAAGAATAAAAGTGATCACATGGTAAAGCGATGACAGGCAAGAAAGGGGAAAAGTGTGGAAAGAGAGGGAAAAAAAGTGCGTTGTTGTGCTTTCTTGAGAGGTTGAGAGAGTAAAAAAGTTTGTACTTCGAAACTTTAAATTGATTCTCTTACACGAGTTAGCTAAACCTAAACTACATGTTTCATGTTTTTCCATTTACTTGTAGTTATTGTTTTCGCCAGGGTTGGTTGGTTATTGTTGTGGCTATATTTTTTCAACTACACCTATAAAAGATAATTGAGATAATTTAGGGGAGAATATTTTTAGCAAATTTTAATAAAAGTCGATGAAATAAGTGTTTAAAAAATAGATTAAAGTTGTGATTTTCATGAAAGCGCGTTTAAAATTAATTGTTGACTTTTACCTCGAACTTTTTAAACTTCCCTAACAAGCACTTTATAAAGTTTCTAAGTTTACAAAAGCTAGCATTTTATATAGATTTGTTTTTTTTTTTTTTTAATATCCTGGAGTCTACACCTTGGCCTCTCAAGCTGCAGATAGGTTAAACCGTAGGTTGTGTTCCAAACTGATCAGTGCTCAAAAGCCCCTCCAACTGATCTGCCAAAGTGTCAAGCAAGCCGTTTTCCATTTTTGCACCTTGCCTTACAGTAGAGCTCCTGCCTTTCAGGATATATCCTGCATTCCAGGAGAATATTTGTCTTTCAAGAGCCTTCCAGGAATCGAACTCACGACCTCTAATCTGCTAGCCTTGAAGCGCCCTCATCTTTGCCAATTAGGATGTGCCCTGAGGGGCAACATAGATTTGTTTTTAATTTACTATGAACTCCTATAATATATTCAGGTTCTACGATTCGTCAGAATTTTCTACGGGGGAATGTGATTCAGATTCACCAACATTTTTATTGAATATTGCGAAGACTGCATTTCGGTGAAATCTCTCGCACCTAGAATCTGATGCCAAAACAAGAAAAGGAGAAGAAGAAAGAAGGAAAGTATAAAGAGTTAACTAGAATTGACTAATGACACCAAAAGCAAAAAATAAAATAAAAATAAACTAGTGTTAAAGTTCAAAGAAAAAGTATAAGTTGTTTCGAGCACATGTGTGGAGGTTGCATGGGAATTAATAGGATGATTTCTGTAGAGTACTTGTTGAGTATAATTTAAATTAAGAATTCAATGGAGCTTGGTATCCTATTTTCAAGTTATTTTCGATACAAAATTGTTCGTGTACATGCGAACTGCTTTTGACGCTAATGAATTCAGGATGATGTAAATTTAGATTCCATCAATGTTTGATCGGAGAATAGCAAGATATTTTGTTGTAATAATTATTTTAACTAGTTCTTTTAAACCTGTCAAAGTTCCATAGCTCCTTCTCCTCTAGTCCCGTATGGGGAAGCATGGGACATTATGTTTTTCTTTATTTCTTTTTCTCTGATAGGGTTTCTTTCAAGAATTCATCCAGTTTGGGCCCCATTTTTTGAAATAAAAATGGGAGGAATAGTTTTTTTTTTTTTTTGTTGAAAAATGAGTGGTTAAAAAAAATGGAAAGTTTTCGATTTATGTATAATATTATTTTATAAAAGATTGTGTAGCTGAAAATAAAAGAGATAAAAAATGAAATGTAATGTAATGGGGACCTAACAGGGAATTCAAAATTCAAAAGTCTTGGTCTCTCTGAGATTTAGAGTACATTGTCATCGTGTGACATAGACCCATGGGTTTTTTTTTCCCGCCTTTTTTTTTTTTTTTTTTTTTTTTTTGACAATTGAAACAAATTATATCCACAATTGTAAAAAAGTATATCCCTTTAATTGACAATTTTCATAGAAAACAAAGTCAAACAAATACCAAAAGATCCAAAATTTTAACATTTTACAGGTAAAAAATTATATCAATCAAACACATTTAATTGACAGTTTTCAGGAAAACAAGTTCTAGGAAATTCAATACTCTGGAATTCATTTTCTTTCCACTCAAATTTCATTCTTACAATCAAACGGATCCTAAGTGTAAATTTGTTCGTGCCCATTGGAACAATAAATAATTTTAATTTCTGTTTTTTATGCAAATTTTCTTAGACGACTTATATTTTTCTTCTATTTATATTGTTTTAGCAATCAAATTTTAGCCCTTTATTTGGTTTGGATAAAAGTTGGATTTTTAATATATTTTGATAAAAGTTTAAAAAATATTCAGTTGAAAAGTGGATAAAAATCATAGGATCACATGAAATAAGTGATTAATAATAAATTTGAAAAAAAATAAACTTTAAGGAATGAAGGTCAAATAGGAGCTTAGGTTTAAGAGATTTGGTCCAAATACACTATGCAGTTTTCCATTAAAAAAAAAAAATCGAAATTTGGTGCTAAAAATTTTGGAATATTTTAAAGAATCGTATACCCTCCTAGAAAGTTAATTAATGGTGTTATCTTGTGACTTGTTAACCCGTCATAATTTAGTCTAGAATCCATAATATAACATATTATTTAGTATAAGTAAATAAATTGAGAATAATAATTACAATTTTAAATCTATATCAATGCTAAACTTTATCGACTTTAATTGTTTTAAAGAAACTTAATTCATTAAATAATCTCAGTTATCTTCATACATACACTATGATCTAACTTTTCATTTTTCTTGCAAATTTCACAGTTGATGTCCAATTTATTAGATGAATTTGTAGCAAAAATTATGGTAAATATGTCACTAACTTTATTTTTTTATTATTTTCTTGGCAAATGTTGTGACAGATTTTCAAACCCCAAGTATATCACTAGCAAAGTATATCATTTTATTTTGATAGCGATTAGATTTTATTAAGGACCTTTGAGACACATTAATTTTTATCAAAATTCGCCATTAAATTTATTTTGATTTCGTTTTATTTCTTTTTTGCAATGTATTGTTGGAGATGAACTTTCATTCGGTAATTAAATTTTTTAAAATTACATTTAAAAATATCGATCAATGGTACGTGCAAGATTTCATTGATGTTTCCATCCTAATTTGGCATTGTCAATTTGATATGCTATGCTTTTACATATAGAGTTCAAAAATTAGGTATTTTAAAAATATTAATCAAGTACTTCTAAAATTAGCCATGTTGGTGGGATTTAAAATTAGATTTTTAGTACATTTTAATAAAAGTCGATAAAAATTTGCGGTTAAAAAATTGTGGATTGTTGATTTTGATGTAAATTAAATTTTAGATTTTAATCCCATCAACGGGGCTTAATTTTATCAGCTTTAAGTTGGGAAGGTTATACTTAAACAATTCAATACCCTCCAAATGAATTATCATATTAAGTGAATACGAATAAAGTTAGTTGTACAACATTTGTTCACAACTTGATTGACAATTAGTGTGTTAGAAAGACCATTACCATTAATTTCAAAAATAGTTTCTTTTTTTCCCCCAAATGAATGGATATGATGTTCGCAAACTCATATGTTGTAAACGAATCTAGTTATAATCGATTCAATATCTACATATAATACATCATTTTATTTTATTTTCATTTAAATTAAGCCCCTGTTTGGTGTGGCCTTAAATTTTAAAAAAATAGAGTTTTGAATTGTATTTTTTATGAAGAATGTGTGGTTAAAGAATGGAAAAAAAATTGAATTTACGTGTAGAATATTTTATTGTATGAATCTATGATTGAAAATAAATACGTCGAAATAAATTTATAAAGGAAATCAAACAGGCTAATTTTTGATGGGTTTGCATTGCTCAGTAGTCCGTCGACAAAAGTTTGGTCAAAACTTCTTTGTTAATCAACCGACTACAAAACACGTCAACACCGTGTCGAAAGATATACCAAGAAACGAAAATGAAGTTTTCCGTTACAATTACATATCTTTCTTTCCAAGGTAGCATAATTACCTCATCTCGCAATAACTAAATTCACATGATTCGTCCAGAATTCATCCGTGGGGTCAACCAGAGCGTTAAATTACGCGCAACATCGAGTGTATATAAGATTGTTCATGTCCAACCCCAAGACGAACACTACCATAGTGCCATTGCATGCAAAATTATTAGTTCTATTTGTGGGCTTGAAATCTGGTAATCCAACCTTTCTGTCTCTTCTATTTGCAGTAATTTTTTTTCGATTTTACTGAGTTTCAGTGTATTACTATAATCATGTCTGAAAATTTTCAAGAAATCTTGCATTGCACGGATCTTGTTTTCACTACAAACGGCCTTGTTATTAGCTTGCTGAATAAAAAGCGATGGCGCTTAGCCTTAGCAAAAATCAATTGTTCAAGGGCCTTGCTTTCTCTCTTCAGTGAAGTTCTTGAGAAGCACAAGAAGATTTCTATCGTGCCATCATCTGCTACTTTCCTTATCAATATTGATCAACCATGCAAAAACTCCGAGGTTAATCAGACACTCCTCTCTAAGGTTGTCAAGGAGAAAAATCTCAAAGAGCTTTTAAAACTTGGAGGAGCTAAAGGTATAGCTGTTTCTCTCAAAACCGATGAGAATCGTGGAATTGGTGGAGCAGTTGAAGACATTTTTGGCAGACAGGAGGAGTTTGGGACTAATGCTTACAGTAAGCCACCTACAAAGGGTTTCTTATATTTTGTTTTGGAAGCTTTTAAGGATCCAACAATTCTTATTCTATTGGTTTGCGCCGCGCTTTCTCTTGGATTTGGGATCAAAGAGAATGGACCAAAAGAAGGTTGGTATGATGGTGGAAGTATATTTGCTGCTGTATATCTTGTTATTTCTATCTCAGCTATCAGCAACTTCAGACAAAGCAGACAATTCGACAAGCTTTCCAAGGTGAGCAATAATATCCAGATCGAAATTGTGAGAAATGGAAGGAGACAACAAATATCGATATTTGACATTGTTGTTGGGGACATAGTTTGTCTGAAGATTGGCGATCAAGTACCTGCAGACGGACTATTTCTAGACGGGCACTCTTTGCAAGTGGATGAATCTAGCATGACAGGAGAAAGTGATCATGTTGAAATCAATCAATATCGAAACCCCTTCTTGTTTTCTGGCACAAAGGTTACTGATGGATATGCTAGAATGCTTATTACATCTGTAGGAATGAACACTACTTGGGGAGAAATGATGAGCTCAATTAGCCAGGAATCAAACGAGCAAACGCCTCTTCAAGCTCGACTAAACAAGCTAACTTCATCTATAGGTAAGGTTGGTTTAGCAGTAGCTTTCCTAGTACTTCTTGTTCTACTGGTTCGATTCTTTACAGGAAATACAACAGACGAAAATGGGGATAAAGAATTCAGTGGATTTGGTAAGACAAAGGTTGATGAGGTGATAAATGGAGTCCTGGGAATTATTGCAGCTGCAGTAACTATTGTAGTTGTTGCAATTCCAGAAGGATTGCCTTTGGCCGTTACACTCACTCTTGCTTATTCAATGAAAAGAATGATGGCCGATCAAGCTATGGTTCGAAGGCTCTCTGCTTGCGAGACAATGGGATCTGCCACTACAATATGTACAGACAAAACAGGAACTCTTACATTAAATCGGATGAAGATAACTAAGTTTTGGTTGGGGAAAGAAACTGTCGAAGGGAAAAGTTACACTTCAATTGCAGCCAATGTTCTTGAATTACTGCATCAAGGGGTTGGTCTTAATACGACAGGGAGTGTTTATAGGTCCAGTGCATCAGAATTTGAGTTCTATGGTAGTCCCACTGAAAAGGCTATTCTTTCGTGGGCTGTGCTAGAATTGAATATGGATATAGAGAAGGTCAAGGGGAATTGTAGCATTATGCACGTGGAAGCATTCAATTCTGAGAAAAAGAGAAGTGGTATTTCAATGAAGAAAGTTGAAGATGACACTGTTCACGCACACTGGAAAGGAGCTGCTGAAATGGTACTGAAAATGTGCTCTCATTACTATGATTTAGAAGGAAATGTGAATTCTCTCAACGATTTTGACAGGATGAAATTCGAAAGAATAATACAAGGTATGGCTGCAAGTAGTCTTCGATGCATTGCATTTGCACACACACAGGTTTTAGAGGCCGGGCATGCGAATCCGAATGGGCAGCAAAAGATTCAAGATAATGGATTAACCCTTTTGGGCCTCGTCGGTCTAAAAGATCCATGTCGACCCGGTGTGAAGAGAGCTGTGGAAGATTGTCAATTTGCAGGGGTGAATGTGAAAATGATAACTGGTGATAATGTTTTCACTGCAACAGCAATAGCCACTGAATGCGGAATACTCAAGCTGAATGAGGAAATGGATGATGGATCAGTGGTGGAAGGAGTTGAATTTCGCAACTATACTGAAGAGGAACGGATGGAAAAAGTTGATAAAATCTGTGTGATGGCAAGATCATCCCCTTTTGACAAATTACTAATGGTAAAATGCCTGAAAAAGAAAGGTCATGTTGTGGCAGTAACCGGTGATGGCACAAATGATGCTCCCGCATTAAAAGAAGCCGATATCGGCCTATCAATGGGAATTCAGGGCACGGAAGTGGCCAAAGAAAGTTCAGATATTGTCATTTTGGATGACAATTTTTCTTCCCTTGCCACTGTTTTAAGATGGGGAAGATGTGTTTACAACAACATACAGAAATTCATCCAATTTCAACTCACTGTGAATGTTGCAGCACTTACAATCAACTTTGTAGCAGCAGTTTCTGCTGGTGAAGTGCCATTAACAGCTGTCCAGTTATTATGGGTGAATCTGATAATGGACACATTGGGGGCTCTAGCTCTTGCTACTGAAAAACCAACCATGGAGCTCATGGAAAAGCCGCCCGTGGGCCGAAAAGAGCCACTTATCACCAATGTTATGTGGAGGAACTTATTAGTTCAAGCATTGTATCAGATAGTTGTTCTTCTGACATTACAGTTCAAGGGTAAATCGATCTTCAGTGTTAGCAAAAAGGTAAACGATACGTTGATTTTCAACACATTCGTGCTTTGTCAAGTACTTAATGAATTCAACGCGAGGAAGCTTGAGAAGAAGAATGTATTTGAAGGAATACACAGGAATAAGCTATTTCTTGGAATCATTGGAATTACTATAATTCTTCAAATAGTGATGGTGGAATTTCTGAAGAAGTTTGCAGATACAGAGAGGTTGAATTGGAGTCAATGGGGGTTTTGTATAGGAATTGCAGCTGCATCCTGGCCTATTGGTTGGCTTGTCAAGTGCATACGGGTACCAGAAAGACCAATATTTAGTTATGTTAATTGGAAGAAGTTAAGATGCATGTAAAGAACTCAGTACTTTGTTTAATCTTTTATAATTATATTTCAACTAGAGTACATTTCTTATTTGTAATATATTTTGGACGAAGGAAGCTATAGAATATTTTTTGGTTTTCTAATTCTTCATTTGTTTGATTCACCCAATTCCATGGAAATTGGCAAAAATTCCACCCAAAATGTAGTGTTTGATTCACAAAATTTTCCATGGAATTAGTTTCTAACTTTTATTGGAAGTTGTGCTATTCCTTGATTTGGTGAAATTCAAATTCTCACCATATGGTGAGAATTGAAATTCCCGGCTATTGTAGCGAATTGTTTATTATTATTATTATTATTATTATTATTATTATTATTATTATTATTATTATTATATATTTTTTATTTTTTTTTATAGGCAATGGAAACCAATTCTAAGAATTATTGTAAAAAAATATTCCTATTTCATTGATAATGTTCATTTAAAACAAAGTCAAACGAACACTAAAAAATAAATTATTTTCTTGAATTATTTATTTATTATTATTATTTTGTTTTTGGCTTTTTAACGATGGAAACCAATGTCATCCCCAATATCAGTAAATTCTCTTATTTTAATTGATAATTTTCATGTAAAACAAAGTCAGACGAACATCAAAAAAATACTTTTATTTCAACATTTTTCACGTGAAAAATTATACCAATCAAACACAATAATTTACAATTCTCAGGAAAACAATTTTAGGCAATTCAATTCCCTGGAATTCGTTTTCCACCCAATTCAATTTCATCTTTGCAATCAAACGGACTCTAAGAGATTATTAAAATTTTTTAAACTTTTGGACTGAAGCAAGCCCAATTCGACGAATTGATGCAAGAAAAAGGATAAGCATCACTGTATGCCAGCAAAGTGAGTCCGTTGAATAAGTAGTCAGGATAAGAATTTAGCACTTTCCGAAGAAAGATCAAAATCAGGTTGTCCCAAGCAAACCAAGGTCAAACATTTTAGCACACAGACACCATATATTCCTACTTCCTTAGTACAAACAATTAAAAGGTGTGTCCAAGAAAAAAGCTGGATAAATGTAACACACAGACAAATATTTTCTATGGGTAATATTGTCGAACAATCTAGGCGCCTCCACAAATGAAACTTCTTTCGTGGGATCAAAATGGTAAATATCACGTTACCGAGAATTTTCCGCTGTCCTCGAGGAAAACAATCTGGTAAGTGATGAAATCGGCTTTGTGAACGATAACAATTTGATCACGGAGGCCGACATCTTCGCAGCACAGGCTGAATATATAGGATGACGGAGTGTTCAAAGCAACTGGCCAAGCAGATGCTTGGGCCTCTGACGGGCTCCTTTTAGTCCAACGATGTTTTCGGACCATTCAATTGGGCCTCTCATCGATGTTCACGGAGCCTTAACCCCTGAATGGTTTTTCCTCTTGGGCCTCCAATCATAATTGGGCTTCTATTTGATTGCCTTATTCTCATAGGCCTATTAACTGTTTGTTTGCCTTTGTTCGTGTGGACTTCTGCAGCTGCCCATTTTAGTTGTAGGAATGTGATGGCCGGGCCATTTGAGAATCCAGGGTTTTGTGGGAGGAAGGGTTAGGGTTACAAGAGAAAATTAAGCCCATGTTTAGGTTCCATTTTTTAGGGGAAAAAAAATACTTTAAAATACTGATTTTTTCGATAATAAGTGGTTAAAAAATAAGAAACTGTTATGTGTTTACGTGTAAAATTTATTATGACAGTATGTAATTGAAAATGAGTTTTTGGAAAAAAAGGAGTTCAAATAGGTGTTTCATAAAATCGTTGTTTTAAGATTTTGGTCGTTACAAATTTTCTTCAAAAATTAGGTGTTAACATTCCAAATTTTTAAGTTCGGGTAGACACCCAAGTCGAAGGAAATTCA